CTGCTGAAGGGACTTGTGGGCAGAAGAACAATTACATCAAGAATAATCTGCCTTAATTTGTCATGTGTTTTGTTCATACTGTCATTAATAGTACCTCTTTTATGTGTTTACTCTAGACTTGTTATACTTTTCACTGATGAGTTGGGTCATATTTCCCACTGGAGAGCCATCATGGCAGGAAGTCTGGCTGGCATGGTTGCAACCATCATGACTTACCCCACTGACCTCATTAAAACCCGGCTCATTGTGCAGAACCGACTGGAACCATCTTATGAGGGAATTCTTCATGCTTTTTACAAAATTTATCATCAGGAAGGACTCCTTGCACTCTACCGTGGTGTTTCACCAGCTATATTAGGTAAAATACTAATGGAGAAAAGTCACTTCACTGCGCACCGTTTATTGCAGCAGCGTTGTGCGTTTGTTTGCTCACTGGATTTCAAAAGCAAATAATAATGTTGTTCTATAGAAGGTAGATTTACAAGGCATGACAATACTGATTACCTCTGCTGCAGCTTTATTGCTTCAGATTATGACCAAGTGTGTAGCATTTTATGTATGGTTAAATGTTCAACAAAATATTCTTTTCCCTGTTTTATAGATGATCTAGTTGTGCTCGGATGCAAGACTTCCACCATTTAACTCATAAAAAAGTGTATACACACAGTGTTCCTAATTCCTGTCTAGGTGTGAGAGTGTCTCCCTCGCTGTTCAGTGAAACCAATAGGAGCAGTAACGTGTAACTGATGTGAAAAGTTAAGATTGGTGATATTCTCTACATTGAATGACTTTTAAATTATTTATTTACTCTCCACAGCTTTTATAAATGACAGCTGAGTCAACTTTTTCACAAACTGACATTATAAAAAATGCATAATAACAGTAATGCATAGTCCCACTATAAAATTGATGAGAACATGAAACAAACAAATGAGGACATGAGTATTCCTCATCAGCTTGACTGAAGAGGCAACTCTGTTTACCTGTACAGCTGCTAGGGTTGGGCTGGAGAAAGAGAGAACCTGGAGAAAGAGCTGAACTGTCATGAGAGTAAAGCAGTTAAGAATTCTGACAACAGGCAAATTTTAATATGTAAATATATGTCCCTGTCAGCACATCTAGATGGTACAATGTGGGGGTTTGGTGGTAAACCAGTGACTAAAAAGTAAAGTTCTTCTGGTTTGAGCAGTGTGAGGTGTAAACTGGCAGTGGCTCATCCCATCTTTCTAGGTTATGTGATGAGCAGCTCTGTTTTCTTGGTGTCCTGTGTGTTGATATAAACCTCTGGTTTGCTTTCTAGGCGCTGTCCCATTTTCTGCGGGCTCATTCTTTGTTTACATCAATCTGGACAAAATCTGGCGAGAACCCATAGTTCATTTCACTCCTCTTCAGAACTTCATAAACGGCTGTGTCGCAGCTGGTGTGGCACAGACACTTTCTTTCCCCTTTGAGACTGTCAAGAGGAAGATGCAGGTACAGAGCATTCCTGTTACTAGTTCTTTGTTATAGATGCTTGTTGCAGGAGCTTGGGACAAGACTAGCCAGATGGTCAGAAATGCCACTTTGTTTTCTCTGACCAGTAAACTACAGAGGCTTTGTTTGAGGTTGGTTGGTTGATTTCTGGGGTTTTTTTGTTGGTTGGTTTATAAGTTTGTTTGTTTATTTTTGTTGTTGTTTTTTAAGTCTGAAAATTATTGCTACAGATGTGTTGTTACACTTTTAAGGTGGGTTCAGCTGCTGTTATGGGATATATGTATACTCTCAGACTCTCTGACTTTAGCTTTATTTCTTTTTCATAGCAATTCCATCAAATTCTCACAGTTCAGAATTGGCAAACCTTCTGTCAAATGCAGGTGTGCAATCCCCCTGGTTGTAGGCAGGGTGAATGAGATCCATGTCATTTTCAGAGCCTGCGTGTCTGCCATTTATGCCTGACCTATGTACTGGCAACCACAAGGTACTTGCACAGCAGGTAGTAAGTCTGAGGGGTCAGAACTATCCTCACTCTTATTTCTGACTCTTCTGATTAACAAGTGACTTCCCAATTGCTGGTGCTGCTGCTTTCCTGGAGCATCAGCAACATGAGAGTTACTAATGTCATTTTATATTATCTTGCTCATCCTTCCTCCAGAAAGTTTAGTAATAATGATTTAAAAAAAAAAAACAACAAAAAACAGCACCACCCCACAGCTTGCATCTCGCTGACATAATTCATTTGATGATACCAACTTTTCATTAGAACTTCATCGGTAGAGACACGGTGAATAGCTGTTATGGCCTGGTGGCTCTCTGGCTGTGACATGTAAGTTTGTTCTTTCAGCTCAGTTCATGGGACTGCAGATTTATGGGAAGCTTTTGTGATCTTATAAAAAAAGCAGCCATTTGGTGTGGCAGCATTATATAGATCCCCTTGCTCAAGCAATAGTCTGGTTAATAAGTCACAAGCTAGCAAAAGCTCAGTGAAATCCTGAATTCCCCTCTCCCGCTCCCCAGGTTCCCTTTTTCAGACAGGGCTTGGATCCAGTGGCACAGAAGCCTGTGTTGCCCTCTCTCCATCTCCTAACAGAGGACCTCAGCAGGGGAAGTGATGTCTTTTATTAGACCAGCTCATGTAGCTGATGTGTCCAGAAGTCAAGCTTTAAGCTGAGCCCTTTCCTTGGGTATCTCATAGAATGTCTCAGGTGAGAAAGAGATTCTGAGCATGAAGACTTGATCATTTTTTCCAGCTGTATCAGTGGCTCTAAGAAAAACAATTACTCCTTACAAGTCCTCTTTTTCTTTATCTCTGTAAGCTCACAGCAGTGCTGCTGCCTTAAAGAATAAAGAAAGGCATTTACTGTGCTGTTTCCCTTTTAGCATTTTCTGTCAATACATCAGTTACTTGAACATTCAGATTTCATAACCAGTTCAGAAGTAACTTTCAGTTTTAACTGCTGTGATGTTAAGTTCTGTGTCAAATTTTGTCTTGACAGGCAAGTAGAGAAGTGGAACGGGCCCATTTTTCATTTTCCTGCCACTAGGCTGTACTCTTTCACCAAAGGGATGCTTAAAACATCTGATTGACACTTTTAGAAATAAGAAGGGAACTGGATTTATTACCTAAATAGGTAGGAAGTGGATATGCTAAAAATGCTTTGGATGGAAAAAAGCCTCAACAACAGAGATTTTTTTCCTCCTAGGTACATTGCAGCAACTGAATAGTGATTTCCCAAGCTTAGAGAGACACTCCCTGTTCGGTAATTTATTCTGAAGGTATGGGAGAAAGCAAAGGTGTTTCAGAAGAAGTAGCTGCCTAGATGTGAAAGCCCATAATTTGTTTGGTACTGGGAATGACAAAGTCATGGAGGCTTGTCCAGAAAAGAGACCTGTTGAAAATCACACCCAAGCTGATACTAAGAACTCACTGGAACTCATGTAAGGTCATCCAAGAAGTTGTTTTTTTCCACAGTTAGTCCCAGGGTCTGGCCCAGCCTTGCAGGGACCAGGTGTGCTTTGTGCTTGCTTGCTGGCCTGTTCAGTTTGTGGAGTGGTGGTCAGAAGAGAGAAGTGTTTAGGACAGCACCAGAAAAGATGTTATGCAAAGGGACCTAGAAAGAGGGAGAATAAAGAAGGGGAAAACAGAGATTCAAGGCAGTTCAATATTCTGTAGAAAACAGGGGAGCAAATGCTTCTGATCACAGTTTTTCTCAGACATCATGCTGATCAGCCTCCATTCAGTGATTCACCTTTATAGCTGATAAAAAAGAAAAAGAGGGATGTACCAAAGCCTTCAGCTTCCCCTGGGCCTGATGCAGTGCAGGTAGGGAAATGCTGGCTTCGTTTTGAAGCTGTGAACACTGGTGGTGTGTATGAAGAGGAACCCAAGCCATTGCAGGGGTCAGTATCCTTTCCTTCTGTCTGAGAGATGGAGGGTAGTATATTGCCAAAGACGACTTTACCAGTGACCCTGTTGGTGATGGGGAACTAGGGAGCTGTAAGGAGCTTCAAAAAACTGAGAAACTAGGACGCAAGTGTGTCTTCTCTGATTCTGGGATGGAGTACAAGCCTAAGACCAGAACATCCAGTTCAGATCCTTACCTGACATGCTAGGCTGTCAGAAGAGTTAGCTCCATCCATCTCCTCATCTAGACAAAGCTTGAATTGTTTGCACAGACTAGAAAATGAATTCTGCTGTGGGGTAGAAGGGTAAGGTGTTATTTTTAATCTCAGTTGTAATAATTTTGTTTCATCCTTTCTCACTTGGCTTATCGGAATCCTACACTCCTGATGTCAGCAGCTTCTGTCAGTGACATCTGTGGGAGTGGGAGCTGACTGTCAGTGAACAGTTCTTCCTTTGTGTTTTGGTGATGAATTATGATGTCAGATTTGCTCTGTATCCATGGCTTCTTCCTCCTCTGCTATTAGAATTATCCTTATCATGTTTACTTTTTTTTTTACAAAGATGCTATCTTTGCTAAATATACTTGAATGGTTTTCTTAAAAGAAATGTTAATTAATATGAGTGAGTCTTACTGAATATGTGAGTCCTGTTTGTTGTGCTTATCCTAATTTTATTCCTTTGTCTTCCTTTTTTCACTTTGCTCCTGATTGGCATGTTAGAGAATTAAGAGGTACTGTATGCATGTTTTGGCATGGAAATACGGCTTTTGTTGTGCATCTGTAGAAGGGGATTAGTAAAGGAGAGGGTTGTTCAAAGGGATGTTCTTATCAAATGCTTTTCTGACTCACTCTTGTGTCAGTTTCTGAACAAAAACTTACTGATCTTTGCATCCTTCTGACTCATTCTTATTCTTGGCTTTCATTCTTTATCCCACGATGTCGTGTTCTTTGATACATCAAGTATCTAAGTGATATTCAAGTACTGCACTTTTACTGTGCAGACTTATTTAAGTGCAAGAACACTTTTTCCTTTTTTTGCTTTTTTTGCCCTTTTCCGTTTTTTTCTTTATTTCTTTCTTTTTTTCCTTCCTTCCTTCCTTAACACTTTTTCCTTTTTTTGCTTTTTTTGCCCTTTTCCGTTTCTTTCTTTTTTTCCTTCCTTCCTTCCTTCCTTCCTTCCTTCCTTCCTTCCTTCCTTCCTTCCTTCCTTCCTTCCTTCCTTCCTTCCTTCCTTCCTTCCTTCCTTCCTTCCTTCCTTTTAACCTAAAGCAGGGAAATACCTGGGTCTGAGGGAAGCACTGATAATACATTTCTATTTCCCCACCTCATCTTTTTGCCTGTGATGACCTTCGTAAGTGCACCCTGGACTGAGCTCTGGCATTTCAGTAAGGGAAGATGAATGTAGAGCTGTTATATGCTGCACAGAAGATTATTATTAGAACGACACTGATCCTGGGCTATGTGTAGAACTGAAAATCTACAAACATGCAAATAGTCGACGCAAACCTAATACCCAAGTTTGGCGCTTCCCTCTGTGCACATGACACTCGGAGGTAGGCTCAGATACCCCTGGCTGGCACTTCTCAGCCTTCATTCCAAATTGGCCTGTGCCTTTGGTAGTTTTGTTAGGCAAAATGCACAAAGATGACCCTAAAGTTTCACAGATGACTCCATTGACTGTACAGTTACTCTTTACTTCCTTAAAAGGACAAACTTTGCATAGTTTGCAGAAGCTCAGTCCTGTCCCCATATTTGTCTGGTATAATTTGATTTAATTTCTGTGACTAACACTTGTCTGAAACTCTCCATTGCCAGTAAATGTTACTCAGGTATGGCTTTACCATCAGACCCTTGTAATACAGAATAAGCATACTTCTAGTATACCACAGGATTCAGCACATTTTTGGTGTTGACTGCACAGCATCCTCAAGCTGTGAGGACATACCTCCAGGGAAAGCGTTGTTCAGTAGTGATCTTTCTGTTCTAAAATCCAGGCTTTGAATTCCCTCCACTGCCATAAACAAACAGGCTCACTGTTGTTGGTTAGTGTAGACTGCTGCCACCCAAGAAGTAGCCTCTTTGCAGTGTCAAAAGTCAATCAATTAGGCCTTGGCTGACTATAAATCTGCCATGTGTTTTGTGTTTTTTTGTTTTGTTGTTCTTGGATTCTCTGCAAGTGTGAAATCTGTTGTAAATGATATAAATGCTACGAGTTCTTCGTAACCTGGAGAAAACTGAGCCGTCATTCCCTTCGTGAGGGAGCCTGTTTAAAGTATATGCAGTCTTGTGCCCTACTGGCACATTTCTAGTCTCAAGTCATTTAAAGGAGAGACTGAAGTCTCTAAAAGTAGTGCTGTCATTTAAGTATTTATTTAAAAATAGTCCATAACTATGTTTCCTTCATGATAAAAGTCAGTCTAGCAAGAAGCCAGTGGCTGGGTTATAAGTAAAGCTTTGGAAAAGACAATGATAAATGTTGGTTAGAAAAGCACCTTCTCCCTTCTGAAATGAGGAGACGGTGCTCCTGCATTGCTTAAACATGAGTAACTTGCAAAGAGTGTTCTGTCATTGGAGATGGTCACTGGTGCTGGCAT